TCCTTCACTTTGGCCTCTCCCTCCCTTGATTTTTGTGGGGGGCTGCTCGGCTCTGCCTCCTCACTGGTGATTGGCCGCCTGTGTGCCTTTCCTAAGCTACAGTACTGGCACCCAATCACCGGTGAGGAGGCGGAGCCGAGCGGTAGCGCAGACATCAAGTGAGGGAGTGGCTGGAGTGAAGGAGCTGTACATCCTGGACTGGATTGTTGTGGACTGGAGCCAGGTAAGAGACAGCAGCCGCCTGCCCTTAGTGGAATGTGCCCGGCAGGACGCTGGAATGCGCCCGGCGGGACACACTGTATGCTCAGCTGTAATTAATGCCTTTTGGAGTAGAATGTACTGAGCACAATAATATGACTACATACCACTGCAATTTACCTTACATTCAAATTGTTACCACCAGACCAATATACCATACCATTTTAGATGTATGCCAGCAACCCAAAAAACACTGTATGGTATGTGATTTAGTCTGGTGTTATTACCCATTTGGATGCAAGGTAAATTGCAATGGTATCCAGTCATTGTGTGCAGTACATTCTACTCCAATAGGCATTACAGCTGCACACATTTAAATAGTTATACATTAATGTTCAATAAATGGCTAGAAGGTGCATGGGCAAATACACCCTTGTCTATTATAGATTTATTGGGATAGTTACCAAAAATAGGAAAAAAAATACCCCCCCCTTCCTGACCAGGCCAGAGTACAACCTATTCATTTCACAGTTTTTATGAATGCACCTGAATGTAGATGCAGCTGAGCAGACCAAGACATACAACAGTGCCTCAAACATCCAGAAAGTGGTTGGGGGAATTCAGGTAAGGGGTAGTTTAACTACATGCTGCCCAGCCACTGTACATATACGGCGGCAGGGCGGCACTCCCAGGCAAAACCACGTTTTAAGATGTGAGTTTTGTAAACAAATAGGGCGGCAGCGCACCCCCTATCTGTCCTGTGCATCACCGCCGCAGATGTCAGTTGCTGGGTCACAGCCACTCGTTAGCAGCTATGTTCTGGCGATGGGTGGCAAACAGTGACAGCACAGCTGCAGTAGCTGTGCTGTCTCACTTCCCTGTCAGCTTGAGGATGAGCTGATTGAGAAAGAACAGTTTCTCTGGATCAGCCTTGTCCTGTGCAGCACACCCCCGCCCCCTAGTAAAAAACACTCCCATAACCCTTCCCTGCAAAATAAAGTTAACCCCTTCCTCCCCATTGCCATTAGTACAGTGTCAGTTTTTTGCACTGATCACTGTATTAGTGTTTTTTGGGGATGTCAGTGACCCCAAGTCAGTACCCCCCAATGTCAGAATGTCTGCCGCAGTCCTGCCATAAGTCCCTAATCGCTGCCATTATTAGTATAAAAAAACCTAAAAATCCCAGTATCTTTCCCGCCATTTGTAAACGCTATAAATTTCACGTAATACAATTTACATGTATTGGGTTTTTTTTTAGCAAAGACATGTCGCAGAATGCATTTTGGCAGAAATTTATGACTAAATTTGATTTTTGCATTTTTTTACTGGACATGTTTTATAGCAAAAAGTCCAAAGTATTGTTTTTTCCCCTCAAAATTGTCAGCTTTTTTTATAGCGCAAAAAAATAAACTGCACAGGCGATCAAATACCACCAAAAGAAAGCTCAATTTGTGGGGAAAAAAATTTTTAAATTTCATTTATGTACTGTACTGCATGACTGTGCAATTGTCCGTTAAACTAGTGCAGCGCTGTATAGCAGAAAAATGGCGCAAGTTGCAGTATTTATACCATAGTTTGCTTTGTGTGGAAGTTATAGCGTTTACAATCAATATACACTCATTGGGATTTTTTATAACCAACAACATGTAGCAGAAAACATTTTGGCTTAAATTTATAACCAACTTTGAGTTTTACTATATATTTTTTATAGCTGAAAGTAAAAAAAGTTGAAAATTTTTGGCCTTTTTAGGTTTATAGCGTGAATAAAAAAAGCGCACAGATGATCAAATACCACCGAAAGAAAGCTCTATTTGTGTGAAAAAATACATAAATTTCGTTTGGGTGCAGCATTGCATGACCGCGCAATTATCAGTTGAATTAGTGCAGCGCCGAGTAGCAAAAAGAGGCCTGGTCATTAAGGGGGTAAATCCTCTGGAGCTCAAGTGGTTAAGGTGTGGGGCACTGGTATGGCATTATGTTCCATTATATACCCTAAGGGTGTAACAAGAAACCTGGCATTAAAGGTGGCATAATCCTTTAATTATTCAATCCATGTTGACATTATTCATACTTAAAGGAAATAAAGTCTTAAAGCAGTTTTCAATTACTTTAATTTGTCAGAAACAATAGTTTCAAAAAATTCACACTTTAAATACATTATATTTTATCCAGTATCACATTCTTTTAGGATAGTCAATAGAGAAACTCCTTCTCCATACAAGCAGAAACCTTTCATAATACTGAAAGTACATCAATACCAAGCAGTAGGCTGCAACAAAACAAAAATTGCACAATTGTTCATAAGTACAGCAGACAAACCATACAGATTTGAGCTCTTTAACTGAACATTAACTTAGGACAGAATATATTCTTTTAATATCACAAAACACATGATGCATAAATATCTCCTTATTAAACAAGTTACAAAAATACTGGTACTTTTGTTCTGTTTCCCCATAGGTTTGCATTATATGGCAAGTACAGACTCCTATGAAAAAACAAAAAACACAGAAACAGAAGATTGGAGTAGAGTTCAGTTTGCACTGTTGAACTGCATTTCTTTGAATTTGAGGTGGTAGACCAAGCAGTACATTAAGCCAAGTTTTCATCACTGCATGACTAGATTCAGGGTCACAAAGTGGACCAGCTGAAATTGGTAAACAAGCAATAGATTTTAACAAGCACACACACTTAAATAGCTAATTCATGCCAGAAAGTCAACATGCGATGAGGAAGATCCATAGCATTACAGAATGTAGAACATGGTCTGGCAATGGCAGCACCATGTCCTCTACCATGGTTTCAAGAGTCACATCTTGTTGCTCCATTTGGACTAAACGTTACCCACAGAGGCACATTTTCCACAGAAAGATTGCCAAATAATTCATCTGAAGAAGCTGAAAAGGATTGACATGACACTTCCACATTTGGAAGGCTTGGCCAAACATCCAGAGGCATCAGGAGAAGTACAATGTTTTACGAACACTTGTTCATTTCTGGCACATTACTTCATGGAGAGGAAAAAATCCTACAAGAGAAACACAGGTGTACACTAAAGTATATATATACACACACACACACACACACACACACACACACACACACACACACACACTGAAACATTACAAACCATCTAGAAGGAAAAAATAAATTAGATTGCAGCTCATCAGTCCTTATATGCAGTGGACTCATTAGTCCCCCCTGATGAATATGCCAGTAAACTTCCTGTCCTAGTATGGCAACTCATCCTATTATCAGAGGATACATTGACAAGACTACTGAACCTCCCTCTGGACAGGGTCCTGTAGTTCAGAATATAAACAGTCAGCAGATCAGTTGGTACATGAGAACAAGTTTGATAACTCACCCATTATGCACCAGTTAACACTTTTTCAATGGCATTATCCAATGTTCAAATGGCAGGACAGAAGCAGTGCTGAAGTACCTGTAAGTCACCTCAAACTGCAGACTCGTGGTGCTCAGACCCTGCACCCAGTGCTTGCCGTCTGCCAGACAGATCACATTACCACTGAGACCATGTGATCACCTGGACATACAATATGGTGGCTGTGTCCAATCACAGGCACCACATTGATCAGAGAACAGATTTTTACTTTCACTCTGCTCTGTTTACAGAGATTGGCTGTGAGCAGAAGTGCCATCAAGGCAGCCTGTGAACATACAGAAACATGTCACTGCAGTGTCCCTGACCACTGTCCCAGTGTAAAAAACTGCATACACCCACTAACTGCTCAGTGATCAGAAATAGTTTGTAACATATGCTTGTACAAGTTCCAATATGGCTAGTAGGATTTTTCTTTACTGTAGATAAAGCATAATACACTCTGCAATTCAGTACAATCCCTATGTAGGTTTGACTCCTTAAGTGGCCAGATTATGCATTAGGACATTGTGTGTCACATTACATGCATCATAATAACTTAAAAACAAAAGTTAGGGTATCTAGCAAGAGGCGTGGTGAAGGTTTTTGAAGTTGGGCTGTACTTTCAAAAAAGGTATTTGGGCAGCATTTGTACTGCCCTGGCATTTTAGGGTCATCAGGACAGATTACACACATACCATAGCTTGTAGACCAACCTGAAAAAACCTAATCAGTGTAGATTAGTTTTAGGCAGACTATTTTGTCTTAAATTAGAACTGCACTGCATTTGGGCATCAAACCAAAAATGCCATTTAATTTTTTTAAATATTCAAGGCAAACTCAACCATTTATGTCTCCATGTTTCATTTTCCTGAGAAAAAAATTTTTGAAACCCCCCCTGGCATTTCTGGCAGTGGCCATCTTAAGGGCAGGAAATACATGTATTGTTTACTGCCTGGAATCCATCTGCTCTTCACTGAAAGGCTGAGCTGGGAACCCTCCCCTCCTGAAAACTCCTGGGATGTATAACATTTGCTTAGGCATAGAAACCAGGAAGTAACTAAAGAAATTAAAAAAACAAGTTCACAAGTAAATATACCTTCCCATCTAATGATAGCTGCATAGAAAGGATTAAAAATAGTACCACTGAGAGTGAAGTTCCACTTTAAAATTCTATGAAGACAGGCTTGCAAAATTCATAACCAACATGTCCCGTCCCCCCCCCACCACATTTTTGGTATTCCCATTTATATAGCAAATTTATAAAAACCTCAGTGGTGAATACCAAAAGAAATGTCAAAAAATAAAAATTTCATTTGGGTACATTGCTGCCTGACTAACTGTCATTCAAAAAATTTGACAGTGCTTAAAGCTGAAAATTGGCCTGGACTTGGTGGTTAATATACTTACTAAAGAGCTTTTAGCAGAACTGGCGGGACTTCCATCCTTGTTGAGTGGCTTCAGATGGAGGATACCAACGCATCTGCAAATCAGTTTCATGTAGTTAGATTAACATGTGAAAAAAGAATGAAAGGTCTGCCTCCCATGAGCATTTTGTTGGTGTACAGTTAATCATATGCACAGCTGATTACCCAACTGCATAGCGTTTCAAGTGCAAGACATACACTTGGGTCACATGTCTGTTACAAGCATGGTGTAAACAAGTTGGTTTGCATTTTGCCCTTCCTAGGTTAGATGCCTCTGAAACTGGTAAAGGAAAGCGAGTACCATTTTGATATGCTAGACTACAGGCACACAGATGCTGCATGTACGTACCAATTACTTCATACCAAAGCCCCTTTACTGTGCACACTGCACTTTATCAAGCACAAAGATCTGGAGGTACTGCCCTATTTCATTTGTTATGGAAATGCTTTTTCCAACAGTCAGGTTAAAATTGTTAGATGGAAGATCATGATTTGGTGCTAGAGCTGATTTTTGCATGCATCTTCCAGTTTACACATGTGTAACCCCCTGACGTTCTCAATCTTTTCTGTGCTTCCCACTGCAGAAAGCTCATGTGGAATTAATTTCATGCAGCATTTTAGTGGGAACAGGAAAACCTCATTTGTCAGACAATGTAATGCTCCTCACCCTGGAAACATTCCCTCAGAAGGTTCAAAGTAACTACTTAACATGAAACCTTTCAGCAAAAAAGCAGCAACCACCCTTTGTTTGCAGGCAACATTGCTGAAGAGCAAAAAATACACACATATGTACACATGCCAACAGGATGCTTCTAAATAATGCTTTGTCTAGTAACATCTCAGGATATTTAAAGCCATACAAGAGTCGGTGTTCATATGTAGTTAAAAAACAATCCACTTGAAAGCTATAACTTGAGGTTTGTTAAATGAGCATTTTACACAAGTATCTGATAGCCATTTTCAAACAGATGTTTTTTGTTCCATCTGTTTGTGGCAAGAAGCAGGGGGAGGGAACAGAAGATAACATTCCTTTGCTAAGCAGCATCATTTTTGAAGCAAGTCTACGTCAGGGGTGAAGCTACAAATTTAGACTGTTTATGCTGTCAAAAGAGATCAGGATAGCACTTCCCAATGCTTGAAAAATCCTGACTGCATGGCAAGTTAGAAATATTTCAATAAACAGCATTTGCTGACCATTTTGCTCAGCGTCAAGGCTAAAACCAAAATTAAAGGAAAGTATTTCTCACATTTTGCACTAGTATTGTATAGTTTTAACTACAATTTCATACCCTTTATACTAGTTATATATTAGCTGCTAGATGCAATTCAGTGGCTCAATGCATTTGAGTGTTGAGCTACAGTGTGAAAGTGTTATAATTTCCCAGAAACTATCCCAAGTCTGGGATTTCCCAACAATGGGGAAATATGGTCTTTGATAGTCACTAATTCTTGTACACAGCAAGATTCTTCCCACCCCTCTATTATGGAGAAAAAAAAAATATGGTTCTTAGGGTCAGACCCCCCTGCCCCCCCAAAATAAAAACCACAATCAGGTGGCAGTTTTAATAAGAGGGTTCAATAGCACTACCATAAACTCTTGGCAACCAGTACCACCAATTAGTATCAGTACCAACTGATGTTTCTTGGGGTACACAGTCCTGGAGTGCAGCATCCTTAAGTCCCAGTTGCCAAAGCTGATCACAGCATTGTTAGACTTTAGATTTTTGCTCAGTCTGCACATCAGTGAAAATGGCCTCTTTGGCATAAACCTGAGCTCCAGTACAGAATAGTTTTAGTAGTCTTTATAGCCAAAGTGTTTATATTTATTCTCCAGGCCAATAAAGCAGCTATAATAAAGGCACTTTAAAAACCTCCCTATAATGTACTCAACTGCACCTTCTAGAAAATATGGACAGCTGGTTCTTTGAGTCACTAGTTCAACTGCTAATACAAATTTCTAATGCTTGGCAATAGGTACCCATGTACTTGAAAAGCAAATCTTGCTATGCAATCTTGCGTCTTCATAAAGAACCAGATTATGTATTAATGAACCAGATGACTCTGCTTTAAGCATAACAGGAAAATCAGTTTTAAGTCACTTAGTGATATAATGTTTAACTATATGTAGTAAACCATTTACTTGGTTTTAGAACCTTGTACTATTAAAAAAAGCCTAAATATTTAATTTGAATAATTACTGCATGCTCCAGTGCATGGTGTGACAACATGGCCACTTTATGAGCAAATATGAATATAAACAAATCTCTAATACAGCTTATTACAGCGTGCATTCAAAAATAAGCTCCAGGAAACAGGACCACTGAAGTCCAGAAAATGCTACCACTTGTCAGAGCTCTGAAAAACCTTTAAAAAAAACGGAACGAGAAGCATTAGGTTAAAATTTCCTAAATTCTTAAGTCTTTTAAGCCACAATTTCCCAAGAACAGACTAGAATTAAACCAATGCTGCACTCCCTTCCAAGTTATGGCTCTCAAATTGTGCAGGGACAACATGGTGGAAAGTGTTACATTTTAAAAAGGAGGTCCAGTATGATGCAAGCACACTGCAGGCAGACACTAAACACCTGTACAAAACCTGTGACTTTCAGCAAAGGAAAATTGCAGGAAAAAACCCACACATTTATAACCTATAGCAAACCAAGTGTCTTACTAGAAATTAAGCCAAAGAAAATGCTTACCTGTGCATGGAGGGCTGCGGCTGCAGCAGCTGCTGCTGGGTATGTAAAAGCAGCATGTGGGATTGCTGGTGCCAGCTCTGTAGTGTACAGTGGATAGGGAGACCAGGCTTCTGGTGAAGCTGGGATAAGTGCAGCACCTGTTAGGTCATCTAAAAAAAAACCAAAGAAGTCAGACCTGGATGTAATGTGCAATACAAGGTTTCACGCAGTAACCAGTAAAGATCTGTTGCATGATTTGCAGCTTCATTGTGATCTAAATCCTTTAACCGGTACCATTGCCTCAGTTCAGTCTCATGTCCAATTACAAAGTGATATGCTAGAATATCTGAGGAAAATGAAAGCAGCACAAGAAAGTTTAGTTTAACAGATTGTCAGCTTTCACAGCACACCAGGCCCTCTGTTGTGGAAGGACTAAACTTGTCATTCCACCCCCACATAGCAAATAGGAAGGACAGACAACTTACATGGATCTCGTGCAATGAAATGTGCTCCAAGTGCAGGGTGCAGGTTTGTGGGATTAGGTGTAGCCATTAATTTGTTCTTGGCCATTTTTGTGTTGGCCTTGGCAAACTCTAGCCTTAAGGTCTGTGGGTTCTCTGGATCAAATCTGATGCCCTAGGGAAAGAAATGCCATAAGAAACTTATGTTCTACTCCAAATCTGCAGTTATTTGACAGAATACTAAAAAAAAAAAAAAAAAAAAAAAAAAAAAAAAAACACACCCACAAACTTACTCAAGTGTGATCAAGATCAATACGGCATACAAATTTCCTAAATTAACAAGGCAACTTACTGGAAGCAAAACAAAATTGTGCTTTTTTTGTGTGTTCCGCTGGCAGTTTAGGGGTTTGCAAGTCAATCGCCAACAGGTATTTTACATCTTTGATACACAATGTCTTGTTTCCTTGTTATAGTCAGTAGTTATTTTTACACAGTAGGTTGCAAAAATTTAACCTGAATATCAAGAATCACTTTTTAAAGCAGTATAATGGCCATCTCCCTGCTGCCCTCTTGGCTTGCCATCGTTTAACCAGGCTGTTTAGAGGCTAGGACATGACGTGCAGATGCCATTGCACAAGCTGTAGCCTGTTCCCCAAACCCCTATATTGATCTTCCTTTAATCAAAGTAGACACTCTGCAGGGCAGTACCCACTATTTCAACTTACAGGAAAACCTGAGTCAATGTAGGTGACCATTGCTGACCTGAAAATGCTAGTTGCCTGGCTTATGTGCTCACAATAATGCCAATTGATAAGCATCAGGAGCTTTGTTATGGCAAGCATCATAGCTTAATATAGGCAGGCAACTGACATTTTTGAAATAGCCTACACATTTCAGTACAAGTTCACTTCTAAGAATTTAGTAAACTTACTACCATATGAAAGATTTAAAAAAAAGAAAAAAAAAGAAAAAAGTGTGGCTCGTTGACCATTTAACCACAATAGTTGAGATTCTGAATCCTCACCAATGGTACATGCTTTGTGGTCCAGTCAACTTCCTGGGTTTTGAAAATTGAGTGCCAAAAAAAAAAAAAATAGATAATTCAGTACTGCTGCATTTAGCAGTGGGATGCTTACCAGTCAACCTAGGACTAAACAGTACAGATCTGAAAATGTAGCCTGTGTAAGCCTGTAAAGTTTGATATGAGCCAAGTTTTAACCTCATGCTTAAAGAGGCAAGTAAGCTCCTTTTTATAGCTGCCAAAATGAAAGTGCCAATCAACTCAGGATAAGAACTCCCCTTGCTGTGGGGGATTGTATTCTGACAGGACTGCTGAATTTCAATCCATGTGGCTTTTCCAATTCAGTCTGGTGGGAATTTTTAAAGCTGGACAGAGACTAATTAGAGTAGGGGATGGTTAAACAAATTTGTCCAACTTCTCCACTTCTGGTCCTGGAGACTCAGTCGCTCCACGGTAAACAAATTCCCATCTTTGAATATTGGAACAAAACTATGTCCCCATTGGATATTTTCCAATTGCTCAAAAAAAAACACCTTCAGGCCCCTTGCAGATGGGGTGGACCCACCAGCAGATCAGTTTGCAGAAACAGCAGAGATACCCCTGCTGAACAGACAAGTTTGTCTGCTCCTCATCTGGACAGATGGGGAATCTGTTTCTGGCATACAGGATTGAGTGCCAGCGGGTCAGTGGACACTTGCCTGACACCCGCTGGTCCATAGGGATCTATGGATGGTCTGATTGGGTCCGCCTGAAAAACTGACAGGTGGCCCTGATCGGACCATCAGTGTGAAAAGGAGTGTAACGTGAAGCTTGTTGCAAGGAAAAATGTCAGACAGGTTCTTGCAGAGCCACTTTGCCATGATTAGATGTTCATATTTTCCTTTTATGAAGCTGTATACTAAAGTGGTAAAGATAATGTACTTACATTTAAGGCATTTTTTGCAGCTTCAGCCCCAGCTCTATTGTCAAAGGTAACAAAGCCTACAGGCTGCAGAAACAGAACACATTAGAAGACTGAAGAATTATAATCACTTGTCAGCAAGCAGTCTAAATAAGCAGTTTACCTGTTTTGAGGTTAACTTGATCAATGATCCTTCATAACCCTAAAAGCAGAAGAAATTTTAAAAGAAATGGCTTTAAGAGGCAGGTGAAGCATGTGGTGTTATTGCAGCTTTGGAGAGTGGATGTGCTGGATACTAGGAAAGGGTAATCTGGACAGCTAATTAGGGACAGCAGTGACAAGCTGCAGAGAGGCTGTAATTGCACCCTCTGCCATGGGGTGGTGCTGTGTTCCCAAGTAGCAGAACTGAAGTGGTACCCATATTTCCCAGCAGTGCCTAAGGCTGTGCTCTGTCAGTGTGGAATTTGTGCGTATGCTGTGCAATTTCTGAAGGATGAGATTACAAATAAATTGACATGGGCATACAGACTTTAAAATGCCAGATTATACACCCTGTGAGTTAACTTTAAAGGACAGTGTCAAGTTCAGCAACAGGACATTAAGCAGCAATAAAGTACATTTTAAAGTGTAAAATCCAAGTCAATTTTTGCCCATCAATTGATCTATGTACAGTGGCAGAGTGGTGGAATCTGAAATGGTACCTTTCACTGTAGTTAGACCCCCAGTTCAGGCAAAGGAGGGAAAAGAAAAATAAACCAGTTACCTCTTAGAACTAAGGGATTTTAACCACCCAGCATTTTACTTCCCACCTGATAAGATTCTCTCCCAGTAACAAAAGGAACCAAACTGCAGAATAGATTTTACATCCTTCGACATGAGAACACATGATAGTAGCCTTCCCCATTTTCTTTAGGATGTCTGGATATTCTGAAGTTTCACAATCATGAATGCATTACCAGATGTTTTACTAAAATTCTTATAAAGAGCAGATCATTTACATACAACAAAATCAATAAAAATGAATGGCACAAGTCTAGTTTCAGTAAGCATTTAACATGCATCGCCTTTTTCACTTGCCAATACCAGACAAGGCACAGAGATTTTGCAGTTTATTATAATCCAGATAGCTTCTAAATGGAGAAGAGAAACCTCTATATAATTAGGGCTATTAAATGCCAAGCTTGCAGCAACCAAAACATTTTTTAGGTTTGGCATGATTGAGATAGACCTCAGGTTTTATTGCAGTGTCACCAAGAGTTTTGATCATTCTGTCCTTTGACCTATGTCACTGGAACAAAGTGAGGGAAATGGTTTTAGAGTATTTTAAACAGGTGTGGCGTGCATTCAACTATTAAAAGCAGCCATTTCCCCTCACTTTAGGGAGATTATGCATCCAGGGTAGGGAGATTATGCATCCAGGGTAAGGAGAGGGGAACCAACATTGCAATAACCCCCCTTCACCAAGCACAGACTAGAAAGTTTCTGGCTGCACACTTAAGTGGTTATTCACAAGGAAGGGGGACAGCAAAGTTGCACATATACTGCAAGCAGCTGGAATATAGCAAGATAGAAGTCCAAAATTTAAAAAGTAAAGGAACCAGTTATCCTTACCTTGAATGGTCGAAATAGTAAAAATAAAGTTCTCTGGGTTTGATGTCTATTGGTAGACCGCTGACAAAGAGGGTACGGACCTGTAAGTTAGGACAAGTGTTAAATAACTTTTAGCACCAGTGTTCTACATGCTAGAAGAACCAAAAAAACCAAGCTAAATGATTTAAGGCTTTCAGAATATTCTGTCCCATCAGTTCTTGTTCAGCTCTCAAAGCTTTTCTCCCAGGGTCCAATCAAAGCAGTTAAAGTCTATAAGACAAACCATTCATTTTATAGAATGAAAAAAAAAATCAAACCAAATCAAACCAAGCTCATGAAAATTAAGTTTTCCAAAAACCTCTCACCTTTGAGCCTACAGTTCTAAGCCAGCCATCTTAAACCAAACCTGCATTCAAAGAAAGTGTCAACTAGATTAAAATGTGCCTAGCAGGACCCTGAAAAAGTCTGGGTCTATTTTGCTCATCACTCCAGATCCGGAGAGTCAGGCCCCATGCCTTAGACTCTGCAGGTAATAGGGGGATGTTTACGATGCTTCCACATTTCTGCCTGGGATGAGAGGCTTTATATAGTGGACCTGTATTGCAAGTGCCCCTTCCTGAACATTCCTACCATTCATTGAGGTACTGCTGACATAAGCAAGCAAAGCCTTGCTACTACCTAGATGAACACCTCCACAGGGAGACAGGGCAGAACAAGGCATATTACAGGTACTTAAATAGCATCACTTTACATACATCTTACATTCACATCAGTCCCTAACCCTCAAGGGGTGTACAATCTAAGGTCCCAAACGTAGATTTACAAACTAGGGCCAATTTAGACAGTATCCAATTAACCTACCAGCATGTCTTTGGAGTGTGGGAGGAAACAGGTGTACCTGAAGAAAACCCACGCAGGCAGTGAGAACATGCAAACTCCAGGCAGGTGATGCCATGGTTGGGATTTGAACCAACGACCCTAGTACTGCCAGGCAGAAGTGCTAAACATTTAGCCACTGTGCTGCTTAATATTAAGTCTAATGGGGAACAGTCTGACAATACTTGTTGCTTTAAACTAAACATTTTCCCCTCACATCAGTATGCACCTCTGTACTAAAAAGGACAAATTCACCTTTTAGTAAATAAATGCAATTTATTTAAAATGCATTTGTCTGCAGGAGCCTGTAAAGCATTGTGCCAGTGATCAGAAGATTGCTGGTGCCATGCAGGTCTCCTGCAAATCTGTCGGTATATCCACTTGCCCGTTTGGGATGTATGAGCAAGCAGATATACTGACAAGAATAAACTACCACAGTGCTGTGGTAGTTTGACTACGAGCCAACAGCTGCTAAAGCTGTACAGACTTCATTCACAGTGGATTGTGAATGAGCGACGTGGCTGGGCAGTTGGAGCCCCACACGGGCTCTTTTAAAGATTTGACAGCTAGGGATTGGGAGAAGATCACCACTAGCTGTTAAAGCAGGGAGCAGAGGCTGATCTGAACATAACATGTTACTCTGAACACATTTTTTATCACATGCACACCCCCCCCCCCATTCAATGATTGTGCCCTACTTCTACCTTCCAATTTCCTACCATGGTCATATGGGTACTGCTACCTTTGCCGTTTGAAACAATCTGAGGTAAAGAATGTCACCAGCACATCCAGGATTCCTCAAACCTTTATGGTGCCGTCACATGATAAAAAAGGTGCAGTCACGGGATAAAAAGGTGGTCACATCAATCAAGCGACCACAAAAAGTTCTAGCAAGCTGATAAATCCTGGCAACATTCACTTGGGATTGTAGGCGGTTCCAAGCCCATAGTCACTGCAGCACCCATCAATACTGAATAGCCATTTACAGAAACATGTATGTTAGGAATACCACGTTTGGACTTGATTGAGGGGTACTGGAGTGGACTACAGTTGGGATTATGTAGTTTGAGCTGGGGAATGCCCAAAGGCTGTTTTATAGAGTATTTCTAAACCAATTCTAGAAAAAAAAACCCACACACCACATGTTACACAGGTGCAATTACTTAATTTGCTCAAGTCTTACACAGACAATGCACACAGCTGCATGAATATATGTCGTGATGCAGCAGTGTGTTCAGAGCTGTAAGTAGGTTTTACCCCTGGTTCACATCTGTGCTGCTGTAGGACTTGCAGGAGGGTGCCATTAATTCTAATGGCATGCTGCTTGTACTGGAAATCACAACTTACTGGGAACCTCTGTCCCCATGCAGGCTGTGATTTCTCAAGTAGTGCCAGGACTTCATCCCTGCATGCCCCAGGGCATGAGTCCAAACGAATGGGCTTGTGCCTGCACAAATCGTGGCCCACACAAGTGTCAAGGGCTGGCTCACCATGCACAGAGCTGAATTTTATAGAACATACTGTGAGCCTCTGTGCAATTCACATGCGACTGGTGCGATTTAAAACCCAACAGGCTCAAAACTGCACAAAAAAGTGCATGCACTGTTTATTGAACACTAACGCGATTACAGGGTACACAAGTACTATGTGATCTGATGTGAGCAAGTGGAATGTGTTTGTGACCTGTGTTTAGGGTGTCTAACCTTTTGACACTTGCTGCAGGTCACAAAAGCAGTGTTTTGCATGCAGGTTGAATTGCAGTGCGTTCCTGTGTGATTCTAGTGTGGGCATGCTGTGAACAGGCACTGAGTGCAGTAGTTTACATGTATACAGAAGCACATACAAGTGTATATAATTGAAACCCTGGCAGCTACAACAGTATGAAGAATCTTTTCTGCCAGCAAGATCCTGCATATAAAATCAGTTACCATCTGTGTGCAAGAGGCCTGAGACTAGTCAAAATGTTTAGGCAGACCATACTGGTCACATCACTGAGGCTTAATGAGGAAACAGAAGATACAAGATATAACCTTTGCATGCACATTTTATAAAGACTGATTCTTTCACTTACATGCTGTTTTGCTAATAAAGCCTCAAAAATTAGATTTATTGCTGATCTATAGACCATTAAAGTAATCAAGTGCTATAAATGGGCATTCAAGGGATATTTTGCAAGTTACAAGGTGCTGCAAGAAAATAAATGGTCTTTAATGTATTCTGTAGGGAAAAGGCATGGCCAAATGCAGAAAATTCACATTTCCTTTGTAGAGAAATTTTACTAGATTTAAAACAAAACCAGCAACACAGATAAGGGATCATTTAAAAAAGTCTCCATCATAGGTTTGTTAAAAGATTGCTTCTTTCCAGCAATGTCATTCAGCTGTACTTCCATAACCAAACCTGTCACAGGCTTTTACTTCCACACAAGTTAGCAGCTCACTTCTCAAACCACCAGGGATATTTTCTGTCTGAGTTAGGACAAAACCGTACACATCAGGACCAAGCTCTCTACCCTCTAAAATATTTACCAGTTCTGTCTAATCAGTGCAAAAGATGCAATGTTAGACACCACAAGGGTTGCATCTGGGCTTCAAAGTAGGCAGTTTAGTTGGTTACGCATGGTTGCTTGGAGAGGACATCTGTACTGCACTTTAAAGCAGTAGGAGTCTACATCTTTATGGCTGCAGGTCCTGTTGGTAGGCATTTGGCATAAAAGATTCAGTATTAGGTTTACTAGATCATATGCAATGTAAAGTCTTTAGATAAATTGCATTTTATAAAACAAATTATCAAGATATCATGTACATATTTGTATGTGGGGAAAAAAAATCTGAAAAAAAAAACTTAAAAAAATTAGCAAAGTCAAGATTCTAATATGATTTAGAAGCTCAAGCCACAGAAAGAACTACTGGTAGAAAAAATTAAAAGTTAGCCTGTTGTACCATGTCTTAAGGGATGTGAAAGTCCACCAAAAGCAGGGAAAATCCTAATCCCAGGTGGGATTATTTTTACTAAAGGTCTTTACATCCTATTCATGGAAAGCTTTTAGTATGCAGATATACAAATAGATCTACAGAATTTGCATCTATTAGATCTAGCAAGTAGTTAAAGTGGTAAACTCCTCTGAATATCTTCTAAATGTGCACTGTTTAGAAGATATTCAAGCAGCAGCCAGCAACAAACATACGCTCTAAAGGAACAGCATACCCGTACTGTTCCTTCAGAGCTCTGTGCCATGTGTGGGAGTAGCATGGCAGCTTGGCCAGGCAGACAACCATAGTCAGCAAACCTGGAAGGAAGACTGGGTGAAGATGGAAGCCCTGTCAGCTGTGACAGTACACTGTTGAGGGCTTTGTTTTAAGGCAAGTATTTCATAAGGTGCTAGCATATTGTGATACTACCTTGCAGGGGGGAACTAGAGACTTCACTACTGCTTTAGAGGGTTTCTTCAGTCGGCCTAACTTTTCTTCCCACAAATACTGTAGCTGCTGACTTAACATAAGGACACTTACCTGCCCAGGAATCCAGCACAGTCCTCACCCAATCTGGTGATGACTCCCTGTGGCTTCAGCCAACTACCCACTGCACATGCAAACGTTGTGCTGTACAACATCCAGTGTAATCACCCAGGTTATTCTAGTGGGAGCAGGTTCCTATAAATCTAGGTAATGCCCACCCCCAAAAAACACCACAATTTTATGTATACACACTGGCCTTAGTTACACCTGTTCAATTGCTTGGTAACAGATTTCTAGTCAGCCACATGGCAGCAACTCATTTAGATGTGGTGAAGACAACCTGCTGGACTTCAAACCGAACCATCAGAATGTAAATCCTAAATGTTTTTTATTTTTCAGAGACGATATCCAGTGAGCAGCAGTTGGGTGGACAAAAATGCCTTGTTTGTTTATTTCAAAGGTCAGAATGGGTAGCCTGGTTTGAGACGAAAGGAAACAGTAAAATAACCAGTTACAAGCATGGCATGCAGAATACCAACTGTGAATGCACAACACGTTGAACCAGATAGGCAACAGCAGCAGACAACCACACCAGGTGCCACTGTCAGCTAACAGGAAATGGAGGCTGCAATCCACAGGCTCACCAAAATTGGATAAAAAAAAAAAAAAAAAAGTTGCTTGATCTGACGACATCCCCTTGAGATGGTTGTGTATGAAAATTCCCAGTACATCAGCAGTTTTTGAAATGCTCAGACCAGTCTGTCTGGC